TCTCCCCCCCCGGGTGGTGTTAGCCAGTATGGACAGCATCTGTGGCTTCATTGCCAGTGGCTTCCACTTGGCCCTGGACAGTTTCCAGCAGATCAGAGGTTGGGTACAGAACCGAGTTGGAATACTTGGTCCTTTAGCCTCCTTCCTATCTGGTTGCTATGGGTTAGTTGCAAAAGTCTCAACTCCTGCCAGAGGAATTTCTCTGTAAAGTACCCTTGCCAGGTCTTAGTTATTCTTTCTCCTCTCCTTCAAGTCCACTGGTGGTAAGGACGTTTTGTGATATTTGTCCAGAGACACTGCACCATGTCTTGTTGGTTTCCTTAAATTCTGCTCCCACTTTTATTAAATACTCATCAAATAAATCTAGTTTGATCATGCTGTATGCATCCTGCCAGGACCTGGACCAATAAAGCACATGTAGAGGGAATGCCACAGCAGAGTGGCTGGACACAAAGTGAGTTGAATGTGGGAGCCATAAATGAAAAGGGGGCTGAGGCCAGATTTTGAAAGGACACAAATGCCATGTCAGGATATCTGAGCTCTATTCCTCCCTGCATACAATGGAAAACATTGATGGTTTCTGAATGGGGACGTAAAATGACTGCAAGTCCATCACTTTTAAAGAGGTGATTTTGCTACAAGAACATAAAATGTATTCTGTGTTAAAGGACACTGTGGAGGCAGTAGAAAGAGCTAAAAAGCAAAAATAATAAATAAATAAAAACACATATCTTGAGTCAAAAATCCATTTCTAGGTATTTATCACAACGAGATAATTGAAAATATGCACAAAGATTTAATGACAAGGATATTCACTGAAAAGATATTTCAAAAATTAAAGATTATAAACCTAAGTTTTTAAGAGACAATCCAAATTCCAATGAAGAAGAAATAAATCTATAGCCTTTTGAATCGATGCTGTAAAAGGTACATATATTGGCTTGATAAAATGTTAATAGAACTTTATAAAAATGAAAATAGGGGACCAGCAGTTGATGTAATGGCTATGTCGTTGGACTCGTAGTTGACTGCGGTTCGAGTCCCGAACCCAGTGGCTTAAACTCATGCCGGGCGTGTGTTCGTGCATGCCCAAGATCCCAAGAGGAGAATGGAGGAGAAGGGATTGCAGCGTGTCCATCCTCCCTGGGGGGTGATTTCTCACTTTCTATCTCTCTGTCTCTCTCTGTCTCTCTGGTGTATGCACATGCCCAATAGCAAAAACTTCTCAAAAAAATGAAAATAGACCCTTATAAAAGTGAGAAACAATTTTAGTATATATATATATATATACACACACATATATATATATATATGATTTTTTTTCCTGTGAAAACAAGCTTAAAAGGAGATATGCTGAACTTGTAATAAATAGTATTTTTCTTATAATGAACATGTATAATTTGTGTTGACAAAAGAAATATTTTTAACAGTTTTATTTATTCCTTCTTAGAGGGAGAAGAAAAGAAGAGAGAGGCACCCCTAATAGGGTCTTCACACCACAATCCACCCTCAGTCTCAGTTAACCTGTATCATGGGCCCGCACGTGCTTGGAGGGTATAGGGAGGTGCTTGAATGTAAACCCAGGACCTTCTTATGCTGGTCCAGTTGTATTACTATTGTACCATTGCCTGACCCAACAACAGTAATATTTTGTAATTGTCAAGGGTAGAGTTTTCTTTTTATTCTTTTCTAAAATTTATTTCTATCATTATAGAGTGTGTGTGTGCAAGAAATCTATATATAGAGAAAGACAGATGTACCCTCAGCAGGGTCTCATCAGACCACAATCCCCTTTCTCCAAATCCTCCAGCTTCTCATGATCTTGGGCATGCATGTATGTGCATGCATCTGCATGTATGTGCATGCATCCAGCATGTTTTTAAGCCAACTTAGGGATCCGTAGTTGGAATGTAGCTTCTAACACCACACTTTAGTTTGCTACCAACTACACATGAGGCTGTACCAAGGGTAACATTTTCGAGAGCCTTGATTCATATGATGATAGTAGGAACAGGAGAATTAATGGCCTTGGTAAATAACTCAATGATTAGATAAAGGAGCTGGGAGACTGAATTACAGTGCCATTATAGGAAACGCAGAGTCTCAGACCTTGCACAATGCCATCTTGACTGAGGTCAGGGTGGGTGCTATGGATGACTTGAGTAAGGTAAATATCCTGGAGACTGGTTTGGCAAGCCAACTAGTAGAACCTAGTTACTAAATGTGTACACACAAGTCAATTGTGAGACCATGGTTCTAGAATCTGTAAGTAAGCCAAGTCTACAAAAGATATTAAGGCACTACCAAATGAGGGCTGAAGGCTAAACCTGGCATTGGATAAGCTTTGGAATTAGCTAAAATGTTGAATAAAAGATTCCTTTTTTAAAATAAAGGTTTTTACCATAGCGTGCATGCGCTCATCAGAGAGACAGATGGAAGTGAGAAATCACCCGTTCACATACATGGAGGAAGGCAATGCTCCGATTCTTCTCTCAGGATTTTGGGCACGCATGCCTAGCATGATTTTCAAGTTGAGTCTAGCACCTTAATAAACATGCTACCTGCCGGTTCTGAATAAAAGATTCTTTATCTTTCCACTTCAGAAACTAAGAACGATGGCTATTCTAGGCTTGTTGTCTTCTGAAAGTGATGTACCTTTGCACTCTTGGACCTCAGATTTCATCCTCTGATCCTGACAATCTCTTTTCCCACTTGTGTCACTCTGCCTTAGGGTAGATTCTTCCAACCCACCCAAACTGCCAGTATCTTTCAGTTCTCCCCAGTTATTCACAAACATACATTTGTTTGTGTATTTGTGTATGCATGGGTGTGTATATGAGTGTACGTAGTACACATGCGTACACTGAAAGCTAACATAGGTCAAGTGCTCATTCTGCTTGTCAAACTTTGTTCTAATCATGTCACATGTACCGTTCCTTTTAATCCTCACTGCTACAACCCTATGGTGGAGGTGCTAGTATTATTTCCATTTTATGACAGAAAACTGAGTTAAAAAGCTATAAATTTTGCCCAAGGCCTTAGATTAGTATAGGTAGAGTTGGATTCAAGGCCAAGTTTGTCTTGCTCCTTCAATCCCTTGGCTTAATCTCTACACATAGTATGTTCAAAGAAGTGTCTAGAAGTTATGTGCCAACTATTAAGTAATTACCTAATAAGGGTAGGGTTCCAGGAGAACCCCACTTTCTGTTTTTATTTTTCTGTTTTGTTTAGATTTCAAGCAATAGGAATATGACTATCTTAGATAGAAACAAATTCTATTTATAAAAACCACTATCAATTTCCTTTTTTACTTTTCTTTATCTTCCTTCTTTGACTAATCTGCTTTCCCAGTTTCCATGCCCAAATAACCCTGCTCTCTGGTCTTGTTTTTGAGCTGGCAAGTTTCACCATGAAAAGAGCATCATTGCACAGACCAACTCCACGACTAAACAGCGGTTTTCAGATGTCATGGGCCCAGATGAAGCTCAGAGACCTTCAAACCTCCCCTGGAAGATTCCCTTACCACCCCTAGATTTTCATTTCCTTTCTCCTTTCTCTCACTCAATCTACTGCCATCTCTCTTTTCTCCTCCACAAATGTCTTAAAAGTAGTCTAGCTGTATTGTTTGAATCTTTCTTTTTAAAGAATTATTCTATTACCCTTATTTACTTATTTATTTTAATTTGACCAAATTGAAACAGAGCAAGCATGAGAGAGTGAGAGAGAGAAAACAAGAAAGCAAGCTGCCAGGTCTGGGACTCGATCCCTGGTTGACCATGTGGGAGTCCAGTGCCCTTAACCACCACACCACCTGCCCGCACCCATATTGTTCAAATCTTCATCTCTACCCCTTACTCTCTGTCTTTACCACTCTATCATACTAATTTCTTTGTTTCAGTTTTCATTAGACTGGATCTCACTAGGTTGGCTAGGCTGACCTCATATTCTCAGTTCTCCTGCTTCAGCCTCTTCCAGGATAGTTGGAACTACTGGTACATGTCCCTATGCCTGATACTAAGTTGTTTTTAAAGGTCACCAATGTGGACCAGTAAATGGTTTACTGTGACTTGAAACTCATGCTGGGCATGCGTGTGCATGTGTGCCAAAATCCTAGGAGGATAATGGAGGAGAAGAGAAATCATGGATGGTTTTTCACTTTCTGTCTCACTGTCTCTGTCTCTCTCTTCGGCAAGTGCCTGCACTCTAAGGCAAAAGCCTCTATCACCGATGTCCCTCTAACTACTAAACTCCGTAGCCCTGTCTTCAGGCACCGTTCATTCTAGTCCACAACTTCTGAATTGGCATTCAGTGTCCACCGAAATGTAGGAAGCTCAGGGCAATTCAGATTACAAATCCATGCGGGGTAATCTATAATGAAGCCGTGGGAAACAAACCAAATCGACTTGGCGTGGACTGAATGAGGCGGGGACCAGATGTGTTTAGAGTGAGGTGTGAGCACAAGAACTGTGGAGTGCAGCACCGCCCCAAAGCTGGATGCGTCCGGGGGTGGGTTAAGCGAATCTATGGATCCAGGTTTGCTGGACTTGGGCTCTGGGAAGGGCCTTGCGTGCTCAGAGGTACTCAGGCGTCCGGAATCACGCTGCTCGTGGGAGGCGGGTGGCCACACGCTCCTCCCCTGTCCCTCCTCCCGCGGCGCGGGGGGAGGAGAGGGTCCTGGAGATAAGGCGGAGCGGGGCTGACCCCGCGCACCGCAGGCGCGCAGCCCACCCGCACTCCGCTCGCCTGAGCTGCCCGGCTGCGCGTGGCCGCGTTGACTCTGCCAACTCCAGCCCTGCGCTGCCGGACGACAAGCTGTCGGAGCGCCACGGAACGCGCCCAGCGACCAAGATTTCCCGGAGCAGCTCAGCTCCGCGCCAGGGTGAGGAGGGGCCCTGGGGACGAGGAGGAGTGCGAGCGGCCCCTCTGAGGCCGGGTCCCAGGAGCCGCAAAGGGTGGGGTGAGCTAGCTGGCACAGAACCGGCCCCTTGGCTGATCAGGGCTTCACTGCGGCAGTTCAGCGGAGCGTGCTGGGATTCCTGCCTATTAATAGTTCTCCGAAACATTTTCCCTAGGAAGGAACCGAAAGAATTCAAAGGCTGGGGAAAAATCAGGCCAGGGGAACGGGAAGGAACGGGAAGCAGTTTACCTTACTACCGTGTAGGTTCATTACCGGGACAACACACACACACACACACACACACACACACACACACTCGCACACAACCTAGGTATAAGCCGGTGCCCTCCCTGTGGGGGGCAGTGCTGCAGTTCTGAGTAGCCACAGTAGAAACGGAATGGTAAACAAAGCAATACCTCCTCTGCCTGGAGCGTCCCCCTGCTGGCCAGATCAGGCCTATGGCTAATCTAATGGTAGTCAAGGGGGAGACATGGTTTTTTTACAAAGTCAGGGACCACTAGTTGACATAATAGCTATGTCGCTGGACTCTCATGTAGTCAATGGCGGTTCGAGTCCCGGACCCGGTGGCTTAAACTCACGCTGGACGCGTGTGCATGTGTGCCCAAGATCCCCAGAGGAGAATGGTGGAAAAGGGATTGCGGCGTGGCCATCTCTCCTAGGGGGTGATTTCTCACTTTCTCTCTGTCTTTCTCTGTCTTTCTGGCTAGTGCACTCCTCCTACAGCAAAAACCTCCCCCCTTCCGAAAAAAAAAGTCAATAGGAGCAGAAAAGAGCATTGTCTTACTCATCATCTCCCTGAGTTTCTAATAGGAGGTTTTATAATTTCCAATGGCAAGTGGGTTTCATTCGGTCCTATGGTTCTGGGACCACTCCCCAGGCGGTGGAGGAGGGAGTGGTGTGTGTGTGTGGTCCACAAATGGGAGTGTGTCACTTGTAAAGGGGCACTGGGATTCAAGTTTCAGAGGGATGTGTGAGCACATCAGTCTTGCACAAATTGACTCATGAGAATTCCGAGCTGGGAGACTGGTATGTGACCAAGAGTGGAAAAGCTCAAGTGTTGGCAATCCCCCAAAGGCTCAGGACAAAATCTTGGGCTTACCTTGAACTCAGGTAGCATTAAGGATGGGCCCGATCCAGGAGGAGGAGGAGAGGGCCTTCTGGTCATGAAGTATCACGTAGCACCTAGGCAGCTTTCCCTAGAGAGGGAAAGGTGGTGGGAGAGCCCACAGGCCTGGCATTTGCCAGCATGCCCACTTCAGGTCCTCACACTTGGGCATCCAGGGTGTTTCCCTCCCGCAGACAGGTGTGCACAAGAAGCTCCTGGCCGTGTGGTGACACTCTTCACTGAACAGGACCTGTCACCCTCTAGGCTGGTATCACAGTCTGTGACCACAAGCTGTCATTGCCAGTAGAGCCACCAAGAGGTGGCTGTCATGTGAGGTGTCAGGGGATTAGGAGGGATGTTGTTCTGGTTCAGCCACCTATTTTACAATTGAGAAATCCCTTCTGAGGTACAAAGGGCTTGCCCTGCACCTCCGCACTTTTTCCCTCAAACAGAACCCTGGGCAGCTGGTTTCCCCTTTCTCCATTGCGTCTCTGTGTCCTTTGTTACATTTGCAGACAAATCCAAGGTACCACCTTCTTTGAGGCTCTGTCAGCTAAAGCTTTAAGAAAAGTACTGGGCTGGCCCTATAGGCTAGTGATTAAGGGGACCAGATTTCACGTGGTTCACAGTGGTTCAAATCCTGGCCTCAGCAGCTTAAAATACATGAAGGACATGTGCATGCATGCCCCCAATCCCAACAGAAAGGAGAAATGGAGGAGAAGGGATTGAGATGTGACCACTCTCCATTAAGAGATGCTTTCTCCCCCGTGTCTCTCTATGGTGAGTTCATGTGCACTCTGGCAATGAACGAAAGAAAGAGAGAGAGAGAGAGAGAGAGAGAGAGAAAAGGAAAAGAACTGACTAGGGACCTGAGCAGCTGAAGTGGGAGCCCTGGCAGGGTCAGATGGAGTTTAGGAAATCCCATAAACTATGCTCCCTTCCTTGACACCCCAGAAGATTGCAGTGTTCTGGAAAGGAAGATGATGAGCAGGATATTTGTTTATTTAGTACTCTGATTCACCTTAAGCTGATTTTTTTTTCAAGACCCATCATAATGAGTCCAACTGACCCCATGAGATATTGAGAAATTCAGATAAAAGTAAAGCATTAAAGAGAAGGTATCGAATGAACAGAAACTGAAAAGAAATACTTGGTTCTAAAATTTTAGAATTCTGGAGAAATGTGGCTGGAGGGCCTGAGGAGTGGGTTCTTTCTGTTCTTCTCTTTGCATCCAGGCACCTGTTATATGTCTACAGTGTCACTTTGCTTAATTTTACAGAAATGACTCATAACACAATGATAGAAACAGACTCATATATATATAGACCTATAGTTTTTGTTTTTAAATAAACTCAGCAGTCGGGAAAGAAAAAGAAGAGATAGTTGTTGAATTGAGCAGAATGGTTAATTTCTAGTAGAAGCTATATTCATTCATTCGTTTCAAAAAAATAATTATTGAGCAGCTACTATGTGCTAGGCTTATGAGTACAGAGCAGAGTATGCCTTCTGCTTTCATGGAGTTCACCTTTTAGAATTGAGGGATGAGCAAGGTAAATTCACATAGTGATAAATATTTTAAAGACAATCACACAGAGTGTGATAGTGTGATAGTCAGTGTTGTGTGTATGTGTGTGTGTGTGTGTGTGTGTGTGTGTGTGTGTAAAGTAGGAATGTCTCAGCTTCTTGGGTTGGACTTTAAGGACAGATGTTTAAGAGATGGACTTGAGATGAGACCCCAGGAAGATGGGCAGCTGGTTCTGGCAGAGGGAATCAAAACACAAAGTCCTGAAAACAGATGTGAAGTATTCCAGGCACAGTTGGAAGGCCAGTGTCACTAGAATTAAGGAAGAGAGGAGATTTGGGGGAGTGAGGGTAAGGGCCAGGGTCCAAGTCTTGCAGACTCTTAGATCTAGATAGTTTGAGTTTTAGTTTTAGTTTAAGTGAGAAATCTAGAGAGTTTTAAGCGAAGTGTGACATCAATATCTTTTTTTTTTTTTTTAGCATGTTACAGGGCGTATGTGCTCACCAGAGAGCAGAGAGATAGAGAAGGAGAGAGAGAGAGGAAGGGAAAGTGAGAAACCATCCTTTAGAGAGGGTATCCATGCTGCAATCCCTTCTCCTCCATTTTCTTCGTAGGATTTTGGGCATGCATGCACATGCGCCTGGCATGTTTTTCAAGCCAGCAGGTCTAGGACTTGACTTGTACAGTTGGCCATGTGGGATCCAGCCACTTTAACCTCTGTGCCATCTGCTCACTCTAAATTTACATTTTGAAGAGGTTATTCTGGGTACGATATGAAGAATGAATTGTAGAGGAAGAGGAGGGAACACAAGGGTAACAGCTCCAAGTTTATTTATTTCAGTTGTGGGGTGGAAATTTAATGTTTCTCTGTCTCAAATTTTATCCACAAAATGGAGATGGCATTGCTTCATTTGGCTCACTTACCTTGTGAAAACAAAGAAGCCAATGAATATACTCTTGAGGGTGATATAAGGTGATATTACTATTATTATTTGCTAATAGCATGCTATTTTGAGTTCTCTGTGCTTCATTTTAAAATGTCTTCCAACATTATATGAGAAGTATAATTTACTATGCCTAAAAATACTTTGCTCTGTTCAGGGTATTGGAAACCTTTAACTCCAGGTTGGCACTAAAACGCCGAATTTAGTATCTCATATAAAAACTAGTACTAAAATAATGGCTGGCTTGATTTTGAAAGTTGAATGTGTCCAAGCCAAATCCACGCATAGACTATTGGAAGCTGAGGATTGGAAACAAATGTTTTTAAAATGTTTTTTTTTTTATAGATTTTTTTTTTTCGAGGACAAAATTGACTTTACCCTGGATACAGCTGTGCAGACATCCATGCATACAAAGATCTGTTGATGATTGAAAAATCTCTGTGCGAGAGCAGAATTTCCTGCTTGAGGAGGCTGTGGACCAGAGCTGAATAGGATTGTTTCCCTTGGTGAAGCATTCTCTCTAAGAGGAATGACTTGAACTTCCCCTCAGTAATCACTGGCATAGTTTCAGAGTCAGAAAAAAGAGTTTTGAAGTTGTTTACCAACTAGAGTAGGGATGACCTCAGCAACAAGACAACCAACCGCCACGATGAGGCAACCCTATTTCTTGTTCCTGCCTCACTTTCACGTACAGTTTACTAGAAAGACATGCTTACGTTTAGAAGAAAACACGTTCCTCATTTACAGAGGGTGTGGTGGACATTTCAGCTCTTCATGGCTTAACAGTTTCTGGGTCATGTTCACTTGCCAAATCCCATGAACTATTTACCAGTCTGTGTGTCAATTTCAGCTTGAGGTGAACAGTTTGGTGATTCAAGTTGCAGACAAAGCGGACAGTAACTCTGGGATCTGTACCATTTCTCTTTTGCCGTATTCATCATTGTAGTTCCATAAAGGTGAGGGGTGACTGGAACATCTATAAAGGAGAGGTACGCTTTTTCCTTTGAGGTCGCATATCTATTCTGTTTGATTTATATAATTCTATACCTCAAAATTAGTGAAGGAACCAGAAGTTGGCATAGTGGCTATGTCACTGGACTCCCACGTAGTCGACCATGGTTCGAGTGCTGGATTTGATGGCTTAAACTCACACTAGGCGTGTGTGTGTGCCCAAGATCCCGAGAGGAGAATGGAGGAGAAGGGATTGCGGACTGACCATCTCCCTGCCGGGTGATTTCTCGCTTTCTATCTCTCTGTCTCTCTCTGTCTTTCTGGTGAGTGCACGCACCCTATAGCAAAAACCTCTCAAAAAAAATCTTTTTTTTTTTTTTTTCAGTTTTTCTTAGGAACAACAGAAGATCTGATAACATAGGCCTTCATTCCTGCATGG